AACTCATCTTGCACTGCAGGGAAAAGGACTCCAAAGGAATACTCTACCAAGAGTACTTCTTGTCTTCGCTTACCAAGAATTACAAAAAATAATTATCTAATGATAGTCTAGGCAGATTTTGGCTTAAATCAGAATCTTGTCAGGATCCCCCATTTGCAGATCAAATGGGATGACTGAGAAATCGAATGGCATAGCCAGCAGGGATAGAATGGGGTAACACAGATCCTTTTGCTTCATTTGTATTCATCACCGCTCCTCATTGCCTGAACTCCACTTCCTGTTAGATCAGCAGGCGCATTAGATTCTCATAGGACATTAAAGCCTATGTCGAACTGGGCATGTGAAGATCTAGGTTGCACATTGCGCATGCGCAGAGATCTAGGTTGCATAGGCCTTTGAGTGAGAGACCATTCCACACACCAGTCCCTGGGGCCAAACAGGCTGGGGACTGCTATTCTAAGCAATATTTGAATTACTTATTTGAAGATGACCAACACACTTATCAAATGTGTTTTTAATAACTCTATGAAGCTAAATTCTTAGAGTCACATACACATGAGACTGCTTTTTTTCTTCAGTATTTTTTTCTCTTTTTGCCTGTTCCTGTTCCACTCTAGAATCTGCTGCCCACTGATTAGAAGGCAAGGGCTCCTCACTTCCCCCAGCAGCAAACACTGCTGCAGAATAGTGAGCCAGCCAGGGTGTGGGGCTTTGAAAGAGACACAAACATGAAGAGAGCACTGCTCTTTGTTTTCTGGGGCCAGGCAGGGGAGAGATACAAGGAGACTACACAAGCCTATGACACAGTGCAACTCATAGCTAATGTGCTGGTGAGACAGAAGGCAAAACTCAGTGTCCTGGGAATTCAGAGAGTGGTCTTATTTCTGGAGAACACCAAGGACTCTAGGCAGGAGATGACCATTAGGAGGCCTTGCGGGAAGAACAGAATTTCAAAAGGTGGAGTTGCAACCCTTCTTCAGACTGGGTCTAAATGCCTCCTACGTTCTGAGAGCCTGGTCGTCCATTATATATGTTAGCCTTTGTAATAACTTTTCTAGTTGGATGCTAGCCACTGTGGGATAGGCTGGGAACTACGGGCCTGCGTCTTGGTTCTGATGCTTGCCTGTACATAAAATTGTGTAAGTCCTACCTTTGCCCCACTCCTACTGGCTATCCCACTGTAAAACGGGATGTGATATAACGTTGATCATGAGTTTCTGGTTAGGATTACGTTAATATATGCAAAATAATTTACAAACTATAATGAAATATAAAAAGATTATTTTTGCCTGTTCTTATGCCATGTGCTTCTTATTTATCTAATAACCTTTGTTTCAATCACTGCTGGGGACGGGGCACTGGAAATACAAAGATGAGTAATTCTCAGATTCCTTCCTTGGAGTCTGAAAAGTCTAGCAAAGGTGACAGTGGCCACCACTGATGGTGGTATCGGCTCACTGTGCCAAGACGAAGGCCTGGCACAGAGTTAGAGTCTGCCAGAGCTCTGCTTTTTCTTAATGGAAACATAGGTGGATGTTAATGATGATGACAAGAGCTTCAAAACCAGAAATCAGCCAGATGTGGTGGTACACGCCTGGAATTCCAGCACTCTGGGAGGCTAGGCAACTTAAGGATTTACTGAAACCCTGTCTCAAAATGAGAAGTAGAAAAGGGCTGAGGATGGGGCTCAGAGTGGAGCCTCTGTGTTCTCCAGTAGAATCAAACCAAACCAAACCAAACCAAACCAACCAATTCAACTGATGTTCTCCAGCATACATCAGGACTAAAGGAGTGAGGTGAGTTTTTTAAGCTTGAAAGTATCCTGTGTTTCAAGTACTTTTATACCCATTCACTTTTATAACAAGTGAGGTATTATGATGCTAATTTTATAGATGAGAAAGAGGAGGCTCAGAGACACAGGGACGCTTCCAAGATTTATAAAGCTGAAAACCTTCACAGTTTATATTTTATGCCTAAAGTTAAACCCAAGTTATCAAACTGCAAGGCTAGAGCTTTTCCTTGTTGCTTTTTGGGTAGCTAGTGTTTTTATAGAGCTCACTCATGCTAGTACTGAATCCCTTCTTACTTGGATTGCTTTTTCCAGGAGAAAGACTGATTTTTGTGAGAAATTTGACAGTAAATTCTTCTACTGACATTTCCTCTTGCACTTCCACTGGTAAAACTTTTCTCTCCTACCACTGGCTTCTGACTTTGGCCTGTCCTCTGACCCAGTGAAACTGCCAAGGAGTAAAGAACCCCCAAAAAGAAAGAGCTACACATAGAGCTCCTGCCACCTCAGCCACTAGCCTGTAAGTCCTAGGACAAAATACAAGACAGAAAAATCTGTGCACGATTCTGTGCACAAAGAAGTCAACGTAGACAAAATATATCTATTCAGACTTCAATTTTGTGGAATTGTAAGTCATCTCAAAATATGATTTCCAGGATTGCTTACTTTATTGATAAGGAATATCAAGAATCAAGGAAAGGAAGAGACATGCCCAAGGTCACGTTCGTACTAATGAGAGGCAGAGTCTGGTATGCAGTCCAGATCTCTTTCCTGATTCCCAGGCCAGCAATGTTTTCCCATTAAATAAGTTTCCTCTTTAGCTTTGCCCACGAACAGCTCAACTTATAGGAGATCATGGCCCTTTTAAGAACCTAGCTCAGGGCTGGTGTCTGACTACAAAGCCCAGAAGCCAGGGCCTCTTCCTTTGGTCTTGGCTTTGATCAGCTCAAGTCCTCATCTAAAGAACGGGAAGTGGCTTCGATTTTAGCTCAAAAAGCACATTCTAGGGGTGGGAAAGGGGGATTTGGGGAAGAAAGTTCCTGTGAATGATGGTAAACAGCGACCAGCAGATCCTTTACTCTGGCTTGAAGAAGGGGAAGCTATAAAAGCAGACATTTAAGAGGAAGATGAAAGTTGATCTTGAGTCTTAACCAGAAAACAACCACAGTAAGAGCTTCCTCCAGCCCTGTGGCAGACAGAGGGGAGGATTCTGCTTTGCTCATTCCCTTCTCTCTTCTGATAGGGCTGGATACTAGGGTGGGTGCTGAGGCACAAGCGCCAGGGTGGGAAAATTTGGAGGAACTTTATCCAACCCCAGTGCTCCCTCCACCCTCTGCCAGAGCTCATAACTTCCCCTGCCAAGGGAGGAAGGAGGAACACATTATTCGGTTTAATAATTTATACAAATTGAAAAGCTTACTGTACAAAATAAAAGGGCTTTAGGAGGGCAAAAGAGAAATAAAGATTCCTACATCCTCTTTTCAAGGATGGAGGTGTGGGGATGATATTTCTTGATGACCTCACTCAGGAATAAAACAAGTGACTCTCTAAAACATGGGTATGAAACAAGCAAGTCACTCTGGTGATGACCCAAGCTTTGTCTCTTTCTACTGGTGGAATCACATCCATTCTTAGCAGTTATAGCCTGGGGCATCCAAGCACACAGAGCCAGCTCCGTGCGATGCAGGAGGAGGCTGTGGCATTTATTTGTCTGTATCAGTGATTCTCAAACCTAGCAGCCCATCAGAGTCATCTAGTGAACTCATTATGAACTGAAATTTCTAGCAAGCATTCCAGATGTCATTTAGATAGATCAGGTGTGGTCTGGAAATCTTCATTTTTCTGTGAGCAGGCCTGATTCCAGAACCAGTGATCCAGTTCAACCCCATCCATCCCGCTATGAAAGCTTTTACACAGATGCTGGTTTTATAGCAAAGAAAACTGAAGTGGAAAAAAAAAGGTAGTTGGTAGCAACACTTGGCTTAGGACTCAGTGCCCCAGCTGCCAGTTTAGGGTCTTAGACAGTGGCTTTCAGGGCACTCTCTGACATAATGAAACCTCATCTCAAAAGGAACAAAAAATGAAAAAGGGCTGAGGATGTGGCTCAGTGTAAGCCCTGAGTTCACTCCCTAGTGCTGGGGGAGGCCAGGCCACATGGGCTCCAGGTCACACGAAGACCCTTAGCTTTTACTCTGAGCCACTGTGGGATTTTTGGTAGAGAAGCATCTGGTGTATTTTCACAGGGGCCCCTGATGCAGTGGTGAGAACAGATTCTACCTAGCAGGTGTGGGAGCGAATCCAGAGAGGAGGAACTGCAGTAATCCGGGCACAGATGACAGTGTCTCAGACCAAGTGGGCAAGACAGCAGGTGCTGAGAAGTGGTTGGACCCTGAGTATTTTCATTTCATTTCTTTTTTATTTTTTGGTACTAAAGGATCGATCTCATGACCTCGTGCTTACCAGACAGGTGCTTATGCCACTGAGCTAAATCCCCAGACCTCTGGATATTTTTAAAAAGTACAGTGAATGGATTTTCTCAGAGACTGGATATGAGATGGGAGATGAAGAGAGGAGCTGGGATGGTGCCAGTGCTTAGATCTAGGAGTTGCTGTAGGAAGGTCATAGTTACCGTTAACTGGAATGGATAAGGCTTAGAGGAGGGAACGGCCATTGGGTTGTGAACATGTGGAACTTGTGGCGTCTGACACAGCTGAGAAACTCTGTATCAGCTGTGGGCACACAAGCACTTTCAAGAGCAGGGACCATGAGTCAGTGCAGCATCTACAGAGCATCAGATCCCTGCCTGGCTAGGGACCCTTACTAAGCGCGCTGAGGTCCTCATGTGGTTTGCTAGCCCTCCCCTAACCCTAACCCTAATCCCCATACTGCGGTGCTGGTCTAGACTGATGAGCCGCATGCCTGGCTTACCTTGGACGCAGAATTTCAGTTCCTTCGGGTCAGTGATGCTCTTCCTGCTTTCCCGGATCACAGCCCTGTTCTTCTTGGTTTCTCCCCAGAGATTGGTGCCTCCATACATGCTGGGAATGTTGAGAATGGCAATACCTTCGAGGAAGATGTTGCTCAGGTCTACCTCAACTCCGTCACACTGGGGAACACAGAGCAAAGGCCATCTGTTAGCGTGGACTGTGACCCAAGGTGCCATGTGTGCACATGTGTGTGTGTGTGTGTGAGACAGAGAGAGAGAGAGAGAGAGAGAGAGAGAGAGAGAGAGAGAGAGAGAGAAAGAGACTGGGCTCTCTTCAAGGACGTGCCAGGTCCTCAGCCATCACTCTGTCGTTGTCAGAGACTGACTCCTTGGGCAGAGTTGCTTAAGCTCAATGCTTCAATCACTGTAGTGTGATGGGCCATCTAGCCCTGGTTAGCTCTGGGGAAGGTGGTGCGAGACCTTTATAGGTCTAGAAATATTCTAGGGATGGGTCCCTAGGGAACAGCCACACTTTTCTCCACTTCAAGCTCATTGTCATCAGTTCTGTCCCTTCCTAATGAATGTGAAGATTTACAGTGACCCTGAATCCAGATCCCAACACACATTAGATTCTCAACAAGTTACAGAAAAATGCCACTTAATTCCCTCTCATTTCATCCCTCCTGTGAGAAGTAGATTTTAAGATTTGGAAAGCTTTCAGGATTTGTCTGTCTCCTGTATCTGCCTTGCAAGTGAAAATCTGGCCTACGTGCTTGCTGAGGTAGCAGAATTTCTTTCTCAACCTCTGCCACCCACATCCCCCATCAGGTACAGACGGCCAGCAGGCTTAAATCTGCGTGACTCACACTGTTCTAAAGCAGCCCGCTTTGGCATAAAGCTTACCAGCACAGCAAGAAACGTTTCAGCTCTGATTTTCCCTCCTCAGGACTATAAATCATATATTTCACTTACAGAAGAACAAATCGGACCCATAGAGATGAAGTGTATTACCCAAGATTACACAGATGATAAATAACTGAGGAGGGATTCAAACACAGGGAATTGGACTAAAATGACCATGCTCTTCATCTTATGTGTTGTGAGGAAAGAAAGAATAAAATCACACAGTAAGAAGCTACGGCCCATGAGGTTCCCTACTGCTATGGTTGGACTATTTTTGCCAAAACTCATGATGAGAGCTAAGTGCCACTGTAATAGTATGAAGAGGTAGGTAGGGCTGTTGGAGGGTCAGCAGGATTAGACCTAGTGACAGGTGTGGGAGGACATGACTTTATAAGAAGAGGAAGAGAGCAGTGGTACGTGTCTGTAATCCCAGCTACTTGGGAGGCTGAGGCAGGAGGATCACACATTTAAAGCCAACTTGGGCAACTATGGAGAGTCTGTCTTGAAATAAAAAAAGATTAAAAGGGCTGGGAATATTCCTAGCATGGAGGAGGCCCTGAGTTCAACCCACATATTGAGGGGGAAAAAATTAAATAAATAAAAAAGGAAGTGAGATGCATGCGTTGCCTTTGGACTTTGTAGAATGTCCCTACTAGCAAGAAGGCCCTTCCTTCCCTCCACCCTGGGCCTTCGGAACTGCGAGCGGAATAATCATTATTCTTTTAAAATTACCCAGCCTGGGTTATTCAGCAGTAGCAACAGAAAAGGGACTAAAATTCTTACAGACTCACCTTCCAGCGATCTCAATAGAGGAGGATTGGAAAGGGAGGCTTGTTTGGCTTTATACGGTCTCATCTCCTGGTTTCTTTCAAGTTCTTAATGACACTATCTCATCATTTCCCTGAAGTGTTTCCCAGATACAGAAGGAGCTGCTGTCCTAACTGGGGGCTTATTTCGTCATTGAGAAGTCCGGATGATTTGAAAGGCCTCTTTAGGTGACTCTTTATTCTCTCTTCCTGCTCCCATGCATTGATCCTCTTCTCCTTTCTGTTTTTTGTTTGTTTGTTTGGTACTGGGGATCAAACTCACAACCCAGCTCTTGCCAAGCAGGCGCTTATGCCACTGAGCTAAATCCTTGGCCCATCTTCTCCTTTCTGAAGGCAGAATGATCCTCCTCCCCCTCCATGGGACCAGCCCACCATGTGCAGGATGGTAACAGCACTGGGCCTATGCACAAAACATGGCCATCTGCCACATTAGCTTTTCTAAACCCTGCATTGATTATCTTTATGCTGTTGCTATTGGTTACCATGACCCCACTCTCTTTACACTGGGGGAAACAGAGGCACAATGGAGCCTGATTTGCTCAGTGTCACACAACTGATGCATAGAAACACACAGATTTGACAACGGACAGTCAAAGTCTGTCTGTTTTTGTTTGTTTGTTTTGTGATGAGAATTGAACTCAGGACCTTGTGCTTGCCAGGCAGGCGCTTGTGCCACTGAGCTTATTCCCGACCTAAGTTTTAATCACTCCATTATTTCTCCTTCGTCTCACACCACAGTTTGGTTGTGCTTTCTCTGGGTTGAGAATCGTCAGTTCCCCTAATCATCTCCTGTGGGTCCTAGTTTTCAGACATTAGCCTGCCACCACCCCTTGCCCCTGGGCTGTCCTGATCTGCACACACTTCAGTTTGTTCCCGCCACCCCAAGGACAGCAACACTAAATACAGGATCTGACAGGACAGGTGGCAATGACACCAGCACTTCCTGGGCTGAAATTCTATGACACTCATGCCCCAGAAATGAGATAATGTGCAAAGCCCATGGAAGAGCTCAGCACATGCCGTCTGTACCGCTGTCCTTACTGTTAAATATAAAAGGTCCACAATCCTGCTCAGCAGGCTCTTCCCTATCCTGAACCTGCGAAGTTTTTTCTTTTTTATATAGACCTGGGACTTTACATTAATATAAATTAATTGCATCTAGCTTTCACTCCAAGCCTCCTCCAGCCCAGTCAGCTCTTTGTTCTATGACCCCCTTGTCATAGCTCAAAGGAGTGTACTGTCACCAGCCTACTTTTCATTACAAGGTTGAATTGTAGAATTTAGGAGATCCCCTGAGAATATGCCTCATTGCTATAGTTTAGAGGGAAAATGTTCCCCCAAAGTCTCATGTTTCCAGTTGGAAGCCAGTTGGGTAATGAGGGCACTAACCTCATTAATGGGGCAATCCATGTGGATGGGGCTGCAGGAAGTAGTCACTGGTGGTGACTTTGGAAGGTCTATCTTTTCTCCAGGCTTTCCCTTGCTCTCTGCTTTCTGGCAGTAGAGGTGAGCAGCTTTCATCTGCCACACCCTTCCACCAAGACGCTTCTACCCCAAAGCCAGCCACCTTGGACTGACTCCTTTGAAACTGTAAGCCAAAACAAACCTCGTCTCCTTTAAGTTGTACATTTTGTTCAAGCAACAGAAAGGTGGCTAACATTCCCGTAGAGGCCTAGAGACATTACAAAACTTCTCTGTGATCATCCAATTTATTAACCATGGATTAAAATCTAGGTCTGTAGATCTCTATTTTATGCAACATAAGATGTTGTGTGGAGATCAAACAGCATTTTCTAAATGATTCCCCTACAATCTCCATCAAGAAAGAAGGAAAATAACTCATATTAAGTCATTAATATCTATATGTAAATCAAGTTTTCTTGAATGTATTGGGGATTGAAGCGTATCATTATATGATTTCCAGAAGATATCCTGGACCAAAAAAAAAAAAAAGCAAAAAAAGAAAAAGGGGCTGAGGATTTAGCTCAGCGGCATAAGCACCTGCCTTGCAAGCAGGCGGTTGTGAGTTCGATCCCCGGTACTGATAAAGACCAAAACAAAAACAAAACAAACAAAAAAAAAAAAACAAGAAAAACAAACAAAAAAAAAAAACAGAACATATCCTGTTCCGATTTTGAAAACTGAGATGACATTTGCTTTGCTTCTCATTGGAAAGATCCGGCCCTCTTTTATGGGTTTGTCAGTGTGTCCCCTGATTGACATCTAGAGGTTTATTATTGAGCAGCTTGAATTCAGGTACCTGTGTATTTTCCACAGCCAATAAATTCTTGCTTGATCTGCCTTGGGCATAGCAGTCTTCTTTAGCATCTGTTCTTCCATGTTTAGTTTAGAGCTCCCACTCTATATGGAAAGATAAAAGATTTCCTAGAATAGCAGAGTACTGTTGAGTTATGCTATCCATGATTTTACTTTTTTTGTTGTTTGTTGCTTTGGTTTACTGTAAACATTGTCTAAGACTTGTATGAAGCTTACAGGTCTGGTTTGCTTTTGTGCAGATACTCTTGTCTTTGTGTTTGTGGGCACAGTTGCTGTAAAGTAGAGCTCCCCGCTGTGGTCACAGTGACTTAAAAGAGCAAACGCCTTTCCCTTTTCTTCTTGATCCATTAAGGACTTGCTGGAAATTTATTTTGGAATATCTCCCCCCACCCTTCATATAAGTGATTCCTAATTAGGAATTTAGGATAGAGTTCCCCAAATCACAAATGAGCTTTTGGCAACTCTGTCCCCAGCGTGATCCTCTTTCTTATCTCTTGCTTGCCTAGTTGGTCACTTCATCTGATTATGATCAGAGTTACTCTGGTGTCACCTCCATTTTTTCACTGTTGATAGAAGCAGCTTCCTGTTTGCTGCTCATGTGGGGCGAGTGCTTCCTTGGGCACTGACTGGACCGGTCCTGCACCTATAGTATCTCTCACAATGTGGGAGGCACTATTGCCACCTCTAATAGACCAGTCTCACAGCAGGAAGGTGCTTGCTCAAGGCTGCAGAAACTAGACACTTCATTGTGAACCCTAGACTTTCAGCAAAATTAAACTTCCAGCTGTTGCTTGAATAATTGAAATCTCTCGCTGCTGCTGTATTCTGTATTGTAAGTGGTGCATTAATGTTGGATATTAGTATTCTATCTTGACTCTGCCAGTTTTTTTTTTTTTTTTTAATCAGTACCGGAGATCGAACTCACGACCTGCTTGCAAGGTGCTGAGCTAAATCCCCAGCCCCAGGTTTTTTTCTTAAAAGTATACACCAGGGCCGGGGGTTTAGCTCATTGGCACAAGCACCTGCCTGGCAAAGGCGAGGTTGTGAATTCAATCCTTGGTACCAAAAAAAAAAAAAAAAAAAAAAACCCAAAAAAAACACACCAGCAACAATCCTTGGCAAACAGTGACCCACCACGCCACCCTTCTTCCCTGCTGCGGTTTTAAGGGCACCCTGTCTCCTTCCTCTAGCCATGACCAGTCTGAGTGCTAGCTCTGAACTTGGTCAATTTAACCCTTCCTTGGGCTTAGCCATTCATTCTCACTCTGCTTTCTGATACTTCCCCTTCTTTGTACCTGGGGCTAACAGAAATGGGAGGAGCCTGGGGACTGTTTGAAGGTGACCTTCAGTGACTGTCCTGGCCTTTGGAAGGCACCTCCTTGGAAAGTGAGAGGCCATAGATACTGTGTGCTCAGGCTGGGAGACAGAGACAGAGATGTCTTGGCCCTGTTACTTGACAGCTGTTATTCTGGGCTACTCCCTTAATCTCTCTGAGCTTTCACTTATCTGTAAAATGGGAGAAGAAGACTAACTCTATCTCAAGGGCTTTCTTGGTCTCTGAGAGACAGGCACACGCCTCGTGCCGCCATGTCATCTGCATCATTACCGCTGTCCCCAACTTTGTGCCTTGAGGTCTCCTTCTTCCTGAGGTCTCTCCCCCATTACCCGAGGCTTTGCAGGAAGCATTTTCATGAGCTGTGCTGGTGACAGCCTCGCCTATCCCGGCCTTGGTGCCCTGCTCCGCAGTTCCTGGCCTAGCGGGATCTCCAGAATGCTGGTCTCAGGGAAGCTGGGAAGCTGCGGAGCCCAGAATGGAACAGAGTCCGTCTAAATGGACCGCGGGGCCCCGGGGCTCCTGAGCTAAATCCTCCCGCTGTTTCATGACGTCCTCTCTCCTGAGGAGACACCAAGGAGGGCGGCGATCCCTGTGCGCAGCACTGGTGCGGTTCCTCTCAGATGCCACCGAGCTCCCTTCCTAGGAGGCTGCGTCGAGGGGCAGCCCGGTGTCTGCAGCCCGCTGCGCGGTGCAGGTGGCACGCTCTGGTCGCCAGCTGCCCACATGCACGCGCCCCCCAATTGTGCCTGGGTGCGCGCGCAGGGACCCAGGCGGGAGGGACAGTGGGGTAAGTCGAGGCCAACCTGTGCCAGCCGCCTAGTAGCCGGTTAGGAACCTGGAGAAGCCCCTCTGTGTCCGCCCGCAGCTGTCGCGGGTGTGCCCACGGTCCCCGGAGACGACAAAGCACCTCCAGTTAAGGTTTCCCTCGGAGGCAGCGATGGCCGGTGACACCAGGCCAGCACGTGAAAGCGTGCCTTGGATCCCCAGGGTCCCATAATTCCGGGCCGAACCTGGATTGGCATGGTTGGTCTGTCCTCGCAGAGAGGCACAGAGCTCAGGGAGCCAGGACGCTGCCACTTCCGGTGCCACCCGGGTGGGGTGGTTCTCTTGCCCTCCTGCTGCCAGGGTCACCGAGAGGAGAAGCCACCATTTATTTGATGACTTGTTTCTGTTTTAGCAACTAGGAGACTCTCTTCTTCTAACCTCGATTCGCCATGCCAGGGAGCAGGCTTCTTGGTGTTTCCCAGTCCCCGTAGGGCAGCGCCTCGCTGACCTCCTGCTGTCCACGCTGGAGGTGGCCGCAGGCCCCAGGGCCGCTCGGGACTTTCTTCCTCTTTCAGCTTGCTGTTTCTCCTTTTTGGCTTAGCCTAGGTTATCCCTCTCATCTTTGATGACTCCTTGGTCTTTCTTTTAGAATCCTTTATTATGGCTTTTCTTAAACATACAGGAAAAACAGAGGAATAATAAATCCCCGTGTGCCCTAAACTGAGCCTGAGCAATGAGCAACCCACGCGAATTTTTGCTAAATTCACATCTCACCTTCACACTGAACTGTTTTACAGCAAATACCCGACTTTCTGTCATTTTAGACATAGATATCTGTGTATCTTTATTTATTTATTTTTTTGGTACCAGGGATCGAACTCACAACCTCACACATGCCTGGCAGGCATTGTGCTGCTGAGCTAAATCTCCAGCCCCAACCTGTGTATCTTTAAATGCAAGTTTAAAAGAAAAGAATTACCTCAATATTATCACTCTGAAAGGATCACAGTAATTCCTTAATATCAACAAATAGCCAGGAATTGCTCAATTTTCTTCAAGAGTTTCATTTGGAAAAAAAAAAAGCTGGTATGTCTGAAAGGGTCTACACACTGAGTTTAGGTGCTGTATCCTTTGGGAGTCCTATAATTTACAAATTTCAGATTTTTTTCTTTGTCTAATTTTTGGGAAAAAAAATGGATCATCTGTCCTGAAAAGCGGGATTTTCCTCTAACTTCATGCACACAAAACTACTTCAGGGTCCTAATAAAATGTGAATTCTGATTCGGGAGGTCCGGGGTGGGGCCCAGGACTCTGCATTTCTAACATCCACTCTGTTTGGAGAAGTAAGGCTGTGACATTGCTGATGTTCCGGATTTTGCTGACTACATCTCTGAGGTGCTTTTAAACATATTCTGAGTCTATTCCCTGTGTTTTCACTAAATTATTCTAATTTAGATCTAGAGGCTCCATCAGGCTCATGATTGGCTTTTGGCAAGAATATGTCACTAGTGGGGGGGCTGTGTACTTCCCATTATATCTCATTAAGAGACATGTAATTTGGTTATCCCTCCCCTCTTCTTTGCTTTTTGTGATGTTCAGATTTATCACTGGGTTCAGGTGCCACTAGTTTAAACCTCCCATGATATTTCTTAATTAGTCAGTGATGAACCTTGCCTAGATCCATTACCTCAGTCCCTCTCAGATGACAGACAGGATGCCCTTGAGGGCACCCTAATGCATTTCTCTCAAGTCTTTACAGATGTAGTTGTCTCCATGAATTCTTTCCTGTCCACTCTCTGAAAGAGATCTTTCTTCCTCTCTTCTCTGCATCTGACTTTTACAGAGTCAGAAACCTGAAGGGTCACCCAATGACCTCATTTCATAGACAAAACTAAAGAGGCCAACAACATGTCCCAATGTTACATAGTTGATGCAAGTCAGCTGACTTGGAATCAGACCTGCAGTCATTTGGACTGACAGCCAGGAAGTCGTGAGTGACTTCACGAACAGAAATGCTGACCCCTGGATGAGGGCCGAAGCACAGAGTCTCAGCATGGGAAGCCAGACAGAACACTGGAGATCACTCTTGATTACCAAAATGAGAATGGAGAGGCTCAAAGTTGGAAGTGGCCTGTCAGATTAAACAGTTATTTCAAGGAAGAACCAGGTCTCAATCAGAGACAATAACGTGTTTGGGGTGACAACAGTAAGAAAATAGAGTCCGAGGAGTCGAGTGGCTTGGTAGTAGGCAGGACTGGAGAGGAAAGATGGGATCTAAAGGGGCAACATGATTGAGAATCAGGTTTTCTGGGGTGTTTCAGTCAGGGAAGCTCCTCCATTCATACCTGTGGGGTGGATCAATATAAAAAGGGCAGAAGAAAATGGGGATGACTAGGATGGAGGTAGAAGGAATCGAAGAGAAGATGCCGGAGGAAATAGGGGACACTGGCTTGGGGATAATACTGGGGTCCTTTCCTTTCCCAGTGAGTGAGAGATGTGAGCAAGGAAGCAGCTCTTTTGAAGAGCAAGTAGGGAAATGCACGGCCATGTTGAGAGAAAACTAGATCAGATGCAGTGGGGAAGGGACCCCATCCCGACCCACTTGATCAGGGTTCTGATGAGTGGGGCAGGGGGTGAAGGTGCTCTTTTGATCCCTGGGCTCCATGTCAGGATCTTGGTTGGACCCTGAAAGGCAGAGGGGTGGCTGATATACACCTGACCAACTCTTCTTGCCCCACCTCCTTGCAGTGCTGGGGATGGAACCCAGGGTCTTGAGCTCACCAGACAAACTCTCTGCCTCTGAGCTACACCACCAGCCCCTCTGTCTCCATGGTGCAGGCTCAGGAAAGGACAGGGGTCACTGTGCTCACTCACAGTGGGGGTATTTCTGTCGGGGTGGATGGGAAAGACATGACCTCTCTGAATTTGCTTGTACCCTGGAAGGCTGGACCTCATAGGGAAAGAAGGTAGCCAAGGAAAACAGTAGCTGGGTGATGCTTGTGGGAGCTTGGACTGTTTTGTTTAGAGGCCACAGAGCTAGAGCCTACTTCTGCCTAATTTGCCTGGCCACCCTTTTTATGTTTAGCAAAATCCCATTTGTCTAATTGAGAGCACTTCTTCCCTTTCTCTTTCTTTGTTTTGCTTTTCCCTTGGTAAATGGAAGGCATATTTTGCTATGTGCTATGCATATTTGCCTGTCCTTTAGAAGACTTGAAGCTCACAGAAGGTGGGAGCCGTATGTGCACAGCTCTGTGTTTTTCATAGATCTGGGCATATCTTACCTGTACCAGGTGTTCAGTATAATTATTTGTGAATTGAAAGAATGAATGTGTGGACAAATCTTAAGATGAAAAACCAAGCTGTTCCTTGAAGAAACCTGGCAAAGTTTGCTTTCTTCCAGATGAAATCCCCCGAAGTTTTTGGATAAATGTAACAACCAAGTAAAGCTGACTGAATCCCATAGGAAGAGCTATGGGAAGTTAATCCAAGCCTGCATGAAGTTGCTCTCTGGTCGAGGTGAAAGAAAATCCGTGCCCAAACACCTGCTAACAAGACAGGGCACATGGGCATGTTTCATATGAAAAAAGCATTAGGAGATGGAAAACAAAGCACTCATTCATCCAACAAGAATAATGAGAACCTACTTATTCTCTGTTGGACAATGGGGATGGAGCAGAAATAGGACAGGGTCCCTGTCCTCAAGGTGCCCAGGGAAGGTCAACTCAGAAGGCATGGTGTGCTGCTAAATGCTTAACAACAGGCTTTTCAGGAAAACAGACAGACAAAAAGCAACCCTGGTTATTGTAGCTTATTAAATCCTCCATGATAGCCAATCTGAAAGCACCCAGGGGCATTCCTGAGATTTGGGAAGAGATGCACCAGCAAGCAGGCGGGCTCAGGTTCACCACTGGCTGCAAGCAACGAGACAGAAAAGGAAGTAGCTATCTTCATATCTGCAGGCCCGATGGCCCGAATGGAGAAATTTACTGAGACTGAAAGAAAAAGAGCCAGGGCAGACAATGATATCTGTTTTCTCTAGAGGAGAACTAGAGAACGCTGTGAGAGTTGATCATCTGATGTGCGAGGAGAGGAAACAGTGCTACACGAGTGGCACTGATAACGTTACTGGAAAGACAGTCTAGTACTATCCACCTGCAAAAGCTGGCTGGGCATGGAGGTAAGTCTTCTAGGACATTGGCTTCCTGCAAATTCAGAGTGGTTCTTTTACATTATCTTAGGAGCTGATGACTGTTGTGGACAGTTAACTCACATATAAGCACACTATTAATAATATTAACATATGTCACTTTATTAAGTGTTATGAAGCAGATGCTTCTTATCTTTATAATCTTGCAATACCAGTGTTGGTAACCTCCTTTTGGAAGATGAGGAAACACTGACCCAGCCTTACTAATAAAGAAGGTTGTCCTTTCCCACATTTATTGAGGTTTGTGCCTTGAGGTTTTCTGCATGAGATACAAGTGGCAGGAACAAGGAGCCAGCCTAACTCAGAGAATGCATACCTGATGCCTGTTATGCTTTTGCTGTTACCTTTGAGACTACATTTAGCATATTCTGGACACAAGGCATTTGAATTTGTCATTTTAAGGAAAATACTGCAAAAAAATGTCAAGAGATGAGCTGTGAGGTTAGTTTTGAGCCTGTATATGGAGGCACATGAGGAGCCAGGGGTGTGTAGCTCTGTGAAGATCAATGCAAGACAATGTGTCAGAGACACCTCCAGCCTTGTGAAGGGCAGTCATCTGGAGGAGGGAGGAGGTATGTTTCATGTGACCCTGAAGGATGAAAAGGATCCTGATGGATAGGGATTTAGGTCGGGCATCTGTGGATGCCTCTTATGCAACTATTATGTTCCAAGCATTGTGCCGAGTGCTGACTAGGGAAGCAGACAGTAAGAAATGGAACATACAACCCTTGTACAATGTTAGGAGAGTCAGTGCTGTCCAGCCATGGGGTAGGTTTTTGGAGAAGCAGTGAGCACTGAAGGCCCAGAGATTAGCATGTGCTAGAACGAATCTTTTATTGAGTGGTAAGTGGGACTAAATCTCCTTTCAGTTCTGAGATTCCAAGTTCAGAATTTGCTTTGGCTGGCGAGAGGGTGCTGCCCTGAGAAAGTGTCACCGTGGCACTCGCCTCCCCTGTGTTGCCAGCCTTGTCCACCCCAGCTGTGTGCTCTGTGTTCTTGGATGAGAAGCTCGGGGGGGCCATTGAGGCTGGCAGCCACTACCATCTGCGACAGGGCCCAGGGAGTGCTGGCAGGTCTGTGTGGGCTCCAGGAATGCGGTGTTGAAGCCATGTACACACAACCTGCTAAAGAACATCCCATGGGCAGAAAATGTTTGCTTCCTCTTTAGCCTTCCTCTGTTGCGGTGCCAGAAGGGCACAATAGTGCCTTTGAGAGGGGCAGCTGGAAGGGGGTGCTGGCAGCGAGGCTGGAAGTAGAAGGCTGCAGCTGGGGATGGGGGAACCAAACTCATTTCCAGGAGTGAGGCTGCACTGGGTGCCAGTTTCCAAAACAAAACTGCTGTTTCTCAGAGCTCACGGTGGTGGGTTGCCTCAGATTTGGACGGAGGGCAAAGCCATTTCCTATCAGCTGCTCCACCCTCCCCAGGCTTAGAAAAACCCTGGTGTATTCAGGCATTCTTGCTTGGGGTGCAGATTAGCAGGCTTTGCTGTCTGTCTGGGGAAGCTGAAGCCAGTCTGGGCTGGATGGGGCTTTACGAGGGATCCAACTCTCATGTAGCCAGAGCAAGAGTGATGGCCGGAGGGCCTGGCAGGGTGCAGGGGCAGTACCCTCTGGGCAATGAGAAGGGCTCAGAAGAGAGACTCCCTCTTCGTCCTGCAGGGTCATTTCCTCTAGCCTCACAGCCGCCTGGCACCCTTGCTTCCAGATGGGCTCTGCCCACTCACTGTCTTAAGTCTGTTCAGTGGGAAAGAGGTGGGAGAACCCTGGCATTTCCTGTCCTGGTTCACAGCTGTCCCAGACCCCTCTGTTACCTTCAAAGATCCCAGCAACGGCTCAGAGTTGGGCGTGGGAGAGAGTCTTCCCACTCACCGCTGCAGAGTTAGAAGGCCGGAGTGCCAGGCTGCAAGCTCTGCCCCCGACCCACTTTGAGTACCAAATGGAGCAGATTGGGTCCCCTTTATTCTGGTGGCTTCTAACAAAAAGGTGTGACTGGAGGCTGGTCAAAGTGGTCATTTCTATTACTGGTCACTCTAAACATGGGGTTTTCACACTTTGGTTCAGTTCTAACGATCAAGTGGTAACTACTGAAGAATTAGTTCATCTTGTGCACTGTGCTGGGTGGAGGGATACAAAATACACGAGAAAGTTCTCACTTTGGGCAGCTGACTGCTTCATGCATTGGCAAGTTTTGCATGCGAACTCTGCTATCAATGAAATGCATACATGCATTAAGGGGAAAAGCAAACCTGTAACTCAGGAAGCCACCTCCTGCTGGGGGTACCCTGGCATTGTGGGAGGTACAGGGGTGGGGTGGGGCTGGGATCACAGATTTATGCTTGAACGCATCTGATCTTGGATATTCACTTATCAAAATTAGACTCAGTATTCTGATACAATAGTGGAATATACATATTATGCAATGCTATACGAGTATTAAATAAATAAAAGTGGATGAAAGTTCCAAGGCTAGAGTCTGCCACATGCAAATTGCTCAGTGAGTACCTGAGATTGTCCTCAATCTTTGAATCCTAACAGATTTCAGATATAACACATATAGCAACACAGGGGTATTTAGTCAATCCCATGTTAGATTCTTTGCCCTTCCTTAAAGAGTCAATTCTTCTACCTTTTAAATTTCTCTTCTAGGACTAGGATCAGCAGGTTTATGACCTTACATGCTATGTTAGAAAAAAGAGACCTTCTTGCTATAGCCAACAGAGCATATTTATATATTTTATTGTATGTCTCTATAATAGTCCAGTTGTATAGGCAAAAAAAAGATTGGAATGTGTCTCCTCTCTGAGGTTCTCAAATCTCCAGAATGTGGTGAGGAATATCACAAATTCTTTTCAATACTCTAACCATCTAAAAGATTGAGTACATTTCCCGCTGGCATGCCTCTCAATTTATTATCAGATAGAAGATGTACTTGTTTGGTAGACATTGCTTGGGGGAAAGTTATTCTTTTACCAAGGGATCTTGGTGATTGGAAAGCTAAGCCTTGCAGGGCAGAGGTTAGCCCTCTGTTGAGGGGAACAAATAAGTCATGTGACTCCCAGCCTCTGTCCCCAGGGACTTCTGGGGCCCTGTTGACCAAACCTGCTGTGTAATGACCAACTACCTTGAGAAAATGTAGACCTAAGACTTTTTTCTCCCTCTAGCTATGGCCCACTTCTCAGCATTAAAATGACATCATTCCGGACTCAGTCATTTGCTTGTCATTTACATTTATCACAGAGTGGCCTAAAACTTCATCTTAAAAGTTACTCCCCCGCAAAAAGTTACTCCGAAGTCCTTGAAAGACACAAAGCACGCATCATGAGGAGTCTAAAGACAAAAGCAAATCAAAGCAATTCACTAAGAACAAAGGAAACAGAAAAAACAGAGATAAAAGCATATGGATGAATAGAGGCTTGACGTGAACTCCAGGGTGTACATTTGAAAAAATAAAATAAAAAAAGAGGGTCAGTCATTTAGGAGAGTGAAAAAGTTATGTGTCAAGCTGCAAGCAAACAATGGGACCTCATAAGGGAAAATTAACAGAAACAACTTCTCCTTAGTCAGCAGAACAATTCTCATGGATGGAAACCTACAATCAGTACAAGGTTGAAAGACGCAGTGAGCTAGGACATTGGTGCTGTGTTTGAAGACAGATGAACATTAACAAAACTATCCCAGAGGTTCTTAGGGTGCTTGGCTACAGAAACAAAGGCTAATACTCTGGAGATTGAGATGAAGCCACCATCCTAATGGTGCTGATCTCTGGCTGGGGAGATGGTGGGTTTCTTGCCTTTCTTGCCTTTTAAAATGCTCTACCATGCGGCTGGGTTAGTTCTAGAATCAGGAAAACAGGTCAGCACACCTAGTAGGAGGGGGCGGGGAGTCACGGATGAAGTAGAGGGCTGTGGAGCTGTGGGAAGTGGTAGATGCTCAAGAAAAGGAAACGTGAACAGGTAAGGGCCTCGCAATGAGGAGGATACTGGCCTGGAGGACGGGAAAAGGGTCCTTGAGCCTAGCTTTCTTTTGACTCTAGGCTGTGGTACATCATCAGGTCACTTCTTTTGTTTTCCCCAGTTTCCCAACTCTTTCTATTTTGTATCAGGAATTGAACTCGGGACCTTGTGCTTGCCAGGCAGGTGCTGTGCTACTGAGCTATATCCCTGGCCCTCCCTACCATGTCAGCCATGGTGACCAGGTGGATGGACTAATGGCCAATTCCTACCTTCCTACTTCGGGCTCTGAGAGGCTTTATCTGCCCAAGCTGAGAAGGTTCCAGAAAAGATCAAGGCCCAGACATCTCTTCCCCTGGAATTTAAAAATATGCAATACTGCAGGTGAATGCAAAAACAGAGTGAGAGAAGGTCTCTGTTGAAGTCTGAGAGCCTCAGGTTCTTTTCTGACACATACTGGCTGGGTGAACTTGGTCAGGCTACTTAACCTATAATGTCTTTGGTTTTCTCGTTTTAAAAACTAATGGCACCGGATTGGAGTAGCTATGCATTCTTAAAGTCATCTAACTCATTATTTATGAAGTCTCTGTACATGCACATGACTGTGCATAATCCTAGTATTACAGTGTTCACAGGTGAGACCCAGATAATGATGTGGATTAAATACTACTAGTATGGTACCCAGCACACTCCCCCATTTTTTAATCTTTTTTTTTTTTTTAACTTTTTTTATCGGTAACAGGGATCAAACTCACAACCGCCTGCTTGCAAGGTAGGTACTTATGCCGCTGAGCTAAATCCCCAACCCCTATTTTTTAATTAAAATTTTTTATGAAGATAAAGTTCATGTAATATAAAATTAACCATTTTAAAGTATACAGTTCAGTGGTATTTAGTACATTCACTCATACTTTTATTGTTTTGAGATGGAGTCTCACTGTATAGCTCAGGCTGGTCCTGAACTCAGTACATAGCCCCTGCTGGCCTTGAACTCCTGATCTGCCCAACTCAGCCTCTTGGGTGCTAAGATTACCAGTGTGCATCACCATACTTCCATGGATAACTTTTTTTCTTTCTTTCTTTCTTTTTGTGAGCACCTTCTAGATTTGGACTTAACTTTTTTTTCCTCCAATACCAAGGTTCCTATTAGTGGATCTAGCTAGTTGTTTTAAAGGTTAAATGTCAAGGAATGTAGGACGTTCTCCCTTGAGCCAGTGAAATGAATTTTTGCACAAAATGGAAACTGAGCACTGGAGTTGAAGGCTGCCTGCTGTGGTCTCCTTGTGATGGAGTCTGAAACCTTCGGAGGCATTCTGGGCTTGGAGTGGCAGAGGGGGTGCCTCCTCCCCCACCTGTTTTTCAGGTGAAAGCAGGTGGGAGGAAATGCAAAAGACCTCTTTGGAAGCAAAGAGGCATCAAAGAGGACTCTGAGAGACTCAGCTTAGATGTGGTGACATAGTTGGTGACAGGCTTCTCTCTCTCTCTCTGTCTTTGTTTCTTTCGCCATACTGAGGTCTGAACCTGGGGCTCTGCTCATGCTAGGCAAGAACCATGGAGTGACATCTTCAGCCCTTTCTATTTTGGTTTTTGAATTTTAAGACAAGGTCTTGTTAAGTTGCCGAGGCTGGCCTTGATTTACGATTCTCTGGTCTCTGCCTCCTGAGTAGCTGGGATGACAGGTGTGTAACCTCTATACATGGCGTGCCGCTTCTTAATTAGAGCTGATAACAAAGCATTGAGCACCCCAGTTCCAGGTGCAACGCTCACATCCGCAGGCCCCTCCCTTCCGTGTTCCCACAGCGGAGAATCCACAGTGAGCATGCGCACTGTATCTATTATGCTCCCTTCTCGGTAAATGCAAAACTCTCAAGCCTGCTTTTAACGTTATCTGAAATGTCAAAATGAATGAAAGGCTGTGAATAAACATCACAGCGCCGTGCCCTTTACCTAGTTGAGAATCTCTGCTCCAGAATGAGCTTCTCAAATGCCTCTACTGCCCCTCAAACTCTTGAAATTCCTGGGGAATGGAAGCTTGACCTCACTACCCAGGTTTTGGACTCCTGTGAGTTTCTTGCTTCCCTTAGCCTCCGTCCCTCTCCTCCGGGATGCTCATTAGGGCACTTGGCTTTTAGGGATGGTTTGCAGATTCTGTGACACACTTAGCACAACTGCTGATCAAATAAAAAAACAAAACAAAACAAAACAAAACAAAACAAAGAAACACACAAAAAATGAAACTCCCAAAGCTGTGAAAACTTTAATCTGAATAAAGGCACTAGGAGATGGGCCAACCCTTCTCACATCCATTTTATAAATAAGAATGCTGAGGCTCAGACATCCAGTTCAGCGAGTTATTTAACCTAAATGCAGAAGACTAATCCCCCAGCCTGTGTGTCTCAAGAGAGTCCCTTCAATTTGTCAGCCCTGACCAAGCACCTGCAGGTGAGTGCTGTATTTGGAGTTACCTTTACCCCTGCCAGGGTCACTTCTAGTGACTTCTGGATCTAATGCCTGCAGGGTTAGCTAAGTGGGTACTGTATTAAGAAACTTCTGTGTGTTTCCTGAAAAATCTCACTTGGGGTTTACTTTTTTTTTTTTTTAACTAGAGTGACCAAAAAATCAATAGGCAGAGAGCCAGATAAACAGAATAAATAAATAAGCAGATTTTACTTTCTTTTCCCCGAGTTCTGAGTCACTGAACTCTTCAGCCTCAGTTTCCTCCCTCAGAAAGTAATGACAAGAATATCTGTCTCGTATGTTCTGTGTGTCAAAAGGAGCTGCTGTGTGGAAAAATCTCCTACAAACCTCAGGGCAGTTCTTGTTTCTCTGTCTCACTTTCGTCTACCCACATCTCTTGCTGCTTTCCTCAAACGAGAAGTAGGACATGGAATCTTCACAAAGCAGTTCTTGGCAGAGCTGCAAAGCCTCCCGAGGAGGAGGCAGAGGAGGTGGTCCCAGACCCTCGAAGGAGGAGCAAGCAGTGCTCCCAGGCTGTCGGATTTACCGGATTTTAACGCTCGTTAGGTATATCTCTGCTTACTGGATCCCAAGCTAAATTCACTTCAGAAGATCTGGATTCTTTTCTTCCCAATTGCCAGCAAAGAAGTTTTGGTCAGGTCACTGAATGTATCTGAGCCTTAATTAAAAAATGATAATGCTGGGCTGGGGTTTTAGCTTAGTGGTGTGAATTCCTGCCTGGCAAGAGCAAGTTGTGAGTTCGATCCCTGGTACAAAAAAAAAAAAAAAAAAAAAAAAAAAAAAAAAAAAAGCACAAATGAAGGAACTTGCCCCTCTGGGTCATCATGGCAATTTCAGTATGACCTTTTCTGTTGGTTTTTACTTTTCTACCCCTGTTTACCATTCTACCCTTCTGTTTCTCAGCTTGCTTTTCCATAAAGTGGGGATAATAATCCCTGGCCTTCTTAGTTCCGGGGATGATTGTATGACTTGAGATAAAGACTGTGGCAGGGCTTTGCAAACAGCAGAGATACGTGGATAGGGTGACCTTGAGCTGGTCAGGCCAGCGCTGTGAGGGCAGCAGCCATACTCAGAGGGTCACCTCCACCTGCTGTGCTTTGCAGTCTCCTAGAGCCAGCCTTGTTTCCTCTGTCTCTGTCTCTGTCTTTATCTCTCATAGTGCCTCTGAATCACAACACTGCCCACCCACTGCTCTCTGGATGCAGAAGGTGCCTGCCCCAATCCTGCAGGCTGTCAGAAGCCGTGGTCATATGACCCTCCTCTCCCATTTTACCCTCATGAATAAATACTAAAAAGACTCATTATGGGGAGATAAGGAAAACAGGAAGTGCTTCTGAAAATGCCCAACACCCCACAGCACGCGGAATAACCCCACCCCCCAAGAGGCCACCAGTGTCTTTTGCCACTAGGCCACCAACCCCCACTGTGCTGAGGAAGTGCTGCTATTTCTTGGACCCAGAGGGGACTGTTGGGCATGACCAGCCTGGAGCCAGGAGGGCGGGCCACTGAGCAGGGGAGCTGAGCTGCTGTATTCTGGGCACAATGTCAAGGCCAGCTGCGAGGAGAACAAGCAGTTGCTGTGTGCCTGCAGCTGGCCGTGGTTAGGCCAGGGTTGTCCCTCATTTGTGGTGTATTTAAAGAGACCCCAACAGACAACCGTGCCAACGGGTGAAATGCACATGGGTTGGTCAGCCACACTCACTCAGCTGGCCAGCAAGGCGCTCCTTCTCCTCCAGCAGCTTGCAGGCAGTGTGTTTTAGGAATAAACAGAGGTGGGCCAGCTCCTCGGCTCCTCCTCAGCAGCTCTCAGGTATAGGTGGCCTCAGCCAGCTATTATGTGGGAACACAGGCCCCCAGACTCTGGGTTCTGTGCCCTCCAGCAGAGCTGGCCCAAAGGACAGAGAATTGGGCAAGGATCTGAGCTTCCCACTCTGGTGTCAGTAACCCAACAACCAAGGGGGAAAGGCGGGCAGATGAGTCAAACGGAGCACAGAACCTCTGGCTTTCTGTGTTGTTTGTGAAAACTCCCTGTGAATGAAGCGTGCCCACAGCCGTCTTCCAGGAAGGAGGAGCAGGCTTTCCCACACTGCTGCAGGCCCACCGGACCTCTCAAAGGGATGCCCAGGCCCCACGGGCTGCTCAGGGAGGCTTTGAGACCAAGCTGGGGCCACGAGGAGGCCTTCCTGGTGGAGTGCTCTAGCTCATCTCTCCCCTGTTTTGCTCTAGTGGAAACCAGATAGAAGCCCAAATCCCACAGGACTGGGCTGGGAGCTGAGAGCCAACAGGCCTGAGGACCTCAGAGGGGAGATAGAGCCAGTGTGCACAGGAGCCGGGGCTGTCAGGTGGCCAGAGTCTGAGGACAGTGCCATGGCAGCCAGTAAGAGGGTTTCGGGAGAGCAGCCCTCCAGGACTGGGGTAGGGACTGGTTATCAAGCAGCAAAGGGGTGCCCGTAGCCACGCTGTCTGGGACAGGCTGCTACAAGTGCCAGAGCAGTCGAGAAAACACAAGTGCACCAACAGGATTGGCTGCCTAGTTAAAAAATGAAAATGCAAGGCTCTCTGCTAAAAAACAATTGTTAAGAATTTTAAGATGGCAACACAGGACCTCCCCTGAGTGCTGGGATTTGTGACTTCACAGGTTGCACACCCACGAAGCTGACCCTGGGCATCTGTGAGTCATCTCCTTGAAGTGGGCAAGTTGGGGGATGTCTGGTTTCCCCAGCTTTTCTGAGGCTTTGGGCACTGACTTAAAGCAATAGCAGCCTCTCCTCACCTGTACTGTTGGTACCTGTCCTTGAGTCTTTGTGGCAGATGGGGCAGGGAGGCAACAAAGCTGAGTCAGGAAGACTACATAGGCTTCATGGGTCCCAGAGCTCCAGGGATTCTCCACATGGGCCAAGAAATGCAAATCCAGCAACTGGAGCCCTTTGAGTGACATCATGGAGACAGGAGGGCGATGCTACGGTACACTGGATCACCCACAAGCTATGTCCTGAGGGTGTGTGTGACATTCCTGGGACAAAAACAAAGCTCAAGGCCTCTTACCTCCAACTCTATGTGGTCATGGAGCTTCTTGCAGGTGGCTGCAAAGGTCTCTGAGGTGCCAAATTCAAAGTACCACAGTTTGTTCTTCATCCTGGACCATGAAGCAGAGAAAAGGCTCAATATCCTGTACCGGAAGCAGTCATGTAAAATAGCTGTGGCATTTGGCACAAGAGATTCAAGCCTGCTGAATTTCTCTAATCTCACATTTTCAAAACCTGGTTAATTAGATGATCAAGGAAGAGAAATTGATATCAACACTTCTCACTAGGAACTTAGAGGAAACTTGTTCTTTTTTTAAAGACATGGTGGCAACTCTGGATGAACTGCTAAGTGCTTTTTAAACGGCCTGCTCAGAGCAGGAAAAGGACCTGTTTGCTTCTGGACCTGCACCAAGGGAAGAGTTCCATGGAGGAAAGAGTTCCTCCAATCAGAGGTGGCAAATGACAGCATACTCTGTCACTGTCCTTTCTATCACTAATGCAGAGGGATGGTAGGCAGGGCCCTCTGTTGTGCATGGTTAGAGTACCAAATGGAGCCTTCTGAGCTCAAAGAATGTGTGGTATTAGGACAGAGGAGGGCTAGTCCTACACCAGCCCAACCAAAAGATGTGCTACTTATCTATAATTTACTGGGGGAAGCACAATAAGAGAACCAATGCAAATTTGTAGGCAAGTTGGAAACAGGAAATAGAGATGAACTGTTTGGTGGAGATAGTCACTAACCCCTCCCCATAATTCTTCATTTAGAGGTAGACCTTGTCATATTTGCTTCTAAGTTGGACTTCATCATTTCCAGCTTTAAATTTTTTCCACATTTTTGTAGGAGACAAAAAAAAAAATCGATCAATGGGGTTTCCATGTAGCTGGGGGCTTTGGAGAGTCAGATGGTGTGCTTGACACTTGGTGGTTTTCATCAGATGGTCTCACCAGGAAGTGTTTCAGAAGCTATTCCATTCCTCCTCCCCAACTGTCACCCCATTATCAGGGGCTGGCTGAGAAAAGGGACACCTGTCCAGTTTATAGCCTGGCAGAGTTAGCTAAGGGAGGATGAAAAGAAATCACATTCTCCTTGACACTCGGGAAAGAGGAAGCCAACTTGAATATTACTAATCCTCTGCCCTCAGATTTGTGGTCCAAGGGGGAAAGGAACATTCTTCAGAGGGGAGAAACTTATTCCGTCCTGATTTTCCTTAGGCCACAGCAGATGACTCATCAGAATTGACTGACATTTTCTTTGCATTTTTCCAACAGTTTACCTGAGACTCAAGGGTGAGACAGGGGTTTTTTCTTTTTTTCCCATATGAAGATTTTTAGATGAGCTGGTTGGGAAGTGGTCTTCCTCACTCTTAGTGTATATAAAAGTAAATCACAAATGATGAAGGAGATCCGAGTGAGTGTAGGGTTTACGCTTCATAAAAACAGTTAGAACAGGGGGTACTTTAAGAACATTGCTTCTCAGCCACTGTGCCAGGGTGCAGGTAAGCCTGACGTATTGCTCTCATGAGCCTTCAGGGTGGCAAGTGGGGTGTAGGCAGGCTGAGCTCCGAGACCATGGTCAACGTTTTCATTTGTATGCCTAGCACACTCGATAAAGTTTTCATTTTCTATGCATATCTTGAGGTCAAAAAAATTGGGAAATGTTGTAGATTATTGGTTCTCTGTGTAGAAATATGCATATGTAAATCACCTGAGAATCGTGTTAAAATGTAATTTTGATGAGTGACTCAGGGTTGGGTCCCCCAGTGTCTTGCTTTCTAACAAGCTGCTGGTGCTGCTGGTTAGGAGGATGTGGGCACTCTGGATACCTTAGTGTTTGTTAGAATTTCCTGGAGAAAGCGATTAAAATGCTGCTTCCAGGGCTCCTATATGAGAGCTGTAGGTTGGAGCCTAGGAATGTGCATTTTTATGAATGTTCAGATGCTTATTTTGCTTATGGTCATTGGCTAGAACTTTGAGGAGCACTGCTACGGACACCAGCGCAGTGAAATCCATAGACAAAGACAGCAACCTGAAAGAGACAGTTCTTCTGGGCATAGAATGAGCGTTGGTGCCTTTCAACAGTCAACGATGGCACGGGACCAAGTAACAGGAAAAACACAGGTCTCCGAACACCAAGGTCAATATTCCTTTCTGGCAGTGAGGGCATCTCGGCAGCCAGGAGACTTGCCCTGTGATTTTGTTTTTCAGTATCACTGCTAGTCTGAATCATGGCTTTGGAAAGTTATTGCCAAGAGATTTAGAGTTTTAATAAAAACTGACAGAAGCAACAGCTATTTTTGCCCACAAGTGATTCTTTTGATGATCTATAAAGGTTAAGAGGTCATGGTTAGATCAGCATCACAGGACCTACGGGAGGACCAAGTACAATCTCCCTCCATTGCTGCTGTGTAACCGTTGCCTAGTTTAATCCCTTTTAAGCCTCAGTCTCTTCACCTGTAAAATGGAGATAATAAAAAGATCTGCTTTAGGGGTTGGGGGTTTAGCTCAGCGGCATAAGCACCTGCCTTGCAAGCAGGCAGTCGTGAGTTTGATCCCCGGTACTGATAAAAAGGAAAAAGACAAAAAAAAAAAAAAAAAAGATTATATCGTCCCAGAGAGAAAAGTCAGCGCCTGCTGAGAATTGGCTATGCTAGGACTTGGGAAACCAACCAACAAATCAACTACTCAGCCTTTCTGGTAATCCATGCAAGCTGCTCAGATTCCAGGGAGAAAAAAGTCAGATAGCGCCTCCCATGAGCCTACCCCATAAGCACCTGGATGATTCCGAGGACAGGTTCCTTGATAGCAATTAAGGTAGATAAAGCAACTAAATACTTGTATTTTTTGGTTGATTATGCAGGCCTGGGACTAGCTGTCTGAACATTTCTTGGGAGGATGACTGTAGGCAATATAGCAAATATGGAGATTTCTTTCTGTCTTGTTTTTGAAGTCAAATATTATTTTCACTGTTTTACTTCTGATGAATTGTATTGTTTTACTCAGCATTATGTTTTGATTGGTTTTATTGTGTTTTGTTTTTAGTTTGATTTTGCTATACCTGATGGAATGGACAACTATTGTGAAGATCACAAGATACACTATGGTAGCTCTTGTTTTTTGGTATCCTGCTTTGAAGTTCTGCACCAATTTTGCTGCATTGTTTTGATTGGCTTTGTTCTGTCTTGTCTTATTGGATTTTACTATATTTAAAAAAAAAGTTTATACCATCCCAGGAGTGGAGGGTGGATTGGAAGCAGTATGATTGACTGCAGCGCTGCAGAACAGTTTGGACATGGTGAAAGAATCCAGGAGGAAAACTGGGGAGTGATGGTAGTATTGGGGGGAAGACTCAAAAGCTAAAATGTAGGTGGTGGAACTGGCAGTGTTGATTAATCGTGAGGACTTAGAAAGAGCAGTGAGGGTGACACCCAAAGTTTTGTCTTAGCATGATAGATAGTGGCTACCACTGCTTCACAGAGAGGCAGAGGAGAGCAAGTCTCCAGTGATAGGTCTCTTTGAAACTAAAGGATAATACATCTGTCCACCCATTCATTCATCCATCCACCCATCCATCCAGCCATCCATCCTTTCATCCATCCACTTATTCACTGAACATTTATCAACAGGTATGTGCTACAGGCACATAAAACTGAGGAAAAGCCCAGAGGTTAGTGATGCTGGACCGGAGGACCTCTGCCTTTGCAGAACTTCCCAAGATGCTAACATTTGATCTCTGACCCCCAGGAGATTATGTGTGTCACTTGTTTTCACTAACGTTTTTCATTACTATTGCTTTTCACTTTCAGAAGAAGAGTGTCTACCCTGAGAGGGAAACACTATTGGTACAAAGAAAGGAATTCACAAACTGGAATGGATTCTCCTCTCTTTCCTCTGCCTTTCTCCCCAGCACTGGCACCATCGCCTTTCTTAAGCTTTCAGTAAAAGCTCTGCACTGGCCTTTGGTCTGTTTCAACATCTTCTTTGCTCAAGAATTTAGAAGCTATGAGCCTGGAATTCAGGCCTGGCTTTACCGCTGACTGGCAAGGTGTTTTGGTCAGTACTGGGGACTGAATTCAGGGTCTCTGTGGCTGAACTACCTTCCCAGTCTTTATTTTATTTTTTTAAAATTTGAGACTGAAGTTGTCCAGACTGGGCCTGAACTTGTAATCCTCCTGCCTCAGCTTCCTAGAGTGCTGGGTTGGGGAGGTTATTTAAGTTCTTTGCTTCTGCATTTCTTCTTCTACCAAGTAGAAACATTATTCTCTACCCAACAAAGCTGTGAAGCTCGTGGCAAATGCGAAGCACCAAGCAGGTGTTTAATCCCTCCAAAGTGCCCAGCGCCTCTCTACTGCTATGGGACACCAGCACCGGAAACTTCATTCCCTGATGGCCCCAGGGGCAAGGGCAGGAGCAGTGCGGGGTTCTGTCCCAGGAGGCCAGGATTTTTTGAATAAAATAAAGTGAACAGTGTTTTAATGGCTTCTGGAACACTTTCTCCACATCTCCCTTCCTGAGTTTTCCTTGGCCACCGTGTCTTTTCCTCTCATAATCACCTTTCAGCTGGAGATGACTAATCTCCTCACCCAGCTGTCCTGAAGCTGATTTCCAGGTTCCTAAGACTGCTAGATTCCTTGTTAGTCTCTCGTCTACCCCGGTGAGCCCATTCTTGGGGCAGAAGTTCCTTCTCAGGGCTCCCAGGGGTCCCTCAGCCAGGCAGATGAATGCCAAGTGACAGTAGTGACGCTGTAGATGGACTCTTTTCCTGGGTTGTCTTAATTTTCTCTAGTTTATAAGAAAATAACATCAATTGCACACTAGTTAGTAGAATCTTTTCATTTGACGGATGAGGGAAAAAATGAGACTAATTAAAAATGTCCTTTCATGTTTGTCAGCAACTTAGGACTGGAATCAGTCATCCTGACGGCTATGAATAGCCTGTTTTCAAGGGTGCCCAAAAGGAAAATCGAGCTAGCTGCTGGGCTCGTACCAGCAAGCAGTGATGTACTCAGCTCCCTCCACCACCCCGATCGGCTGGTGGCCCTTTTCTGAGAATCAAGGAAGTTTCAAGGGTAATGCACTTTTGAAGTCATCAAAAGTCAAAACATGAAAACGT